CTCCTTTCATCCACATAAATCTGAAATGACATGACCTGTAAGTACGACCATTTCGGTCTTTTTAAGATCTTAAGGAATTTGTAGCCTGTTGTGAAAGGGCATATCGGAGCAATCATTCAGGGAAATTCTTAATTTCTGATACACTGGTGGAGAGGGAAGAGACTTGAAGTTGTGCCTGGGAGGTGAGAATGAACCAGTGTAGGGGCTGTGTGTCCTTCCTAGCCAATATTGACTTGAAGTTAAGCTCCACCTGTAGATTGTCAGCAGCTGTGCTGATCAGTTGTTAAGAAGCAAAGATGAAAGTTATGTTGGACAGGGCAGTCTTGCAAGATAAAAATATAATCTGTGGGGTTAAAAGCTGACATCAGTGGGAAAGTGCAAACTTACATTTTTATTCTTCCCCTTGATTGTTCTGTCAAATCATCACAAAAGCCCATGTCATTAAATATTGCACATAAAACATTCCATTCAAAGTATTAGAAGAAGCCTATTTGTAGGTAGCAGAGGTTGGTGATATTGCACTAATTTATGTATCAATGACTTGTAGTAATGAATTTTTCTTATAAAAGACTGTTTTTCCTGCAATTGGAGAAGAATTATGGACTGGAAAGAGGAGACAATCCTTCATAGAGAGTTGAGAGTAAAAAACAAAAATGTTTTTTAGCACAATGAAAGAAAATCTTTATAAGGGGTAGTAGCTACAATGTTAACTTGGCTTATATTAACACTGAATTCACAAGCCATGATAATGGTAACTGTGTTACAGAAACTAGATAGATGTAATACCTTTATTTTTTACTCTTAGATGCAGAAATTTAAACCATGAAAAGTGGTATTGGATCAAAACTGCAAATAGATAAATTTCTCAACTAAATTCAAACAGTAATTTGCACTCAAAGCCTAAAAATATCCACAAGAGGCAGGTAACTATATTCTTGCGAAAACTGCTTGCCAAATAAAGAGAAAATGTTAACAAGATACAAGCAATTATCATGGCCTAGTACTGGGCTAACCAACCCTAATTTTTTTAGCCAACAAGTATTTTATTTATCCATGTTTGTTTATTGATTTCTACTATAAATATCCATAATACAGCAGGCTTTAAGTGTGCCTGATGTTATGCAAGTTGAACTATATTTTGGATTTTTTACAATGCTCACATAACACACAAAATGGCACTAATAACCTAATTTCCATAAGAATTTCATGCCATCAATGTCTCTGTTGCTAGTAGCCAAGCTAACAGAATATAAGAGTATATTTATAGACATATTGATTACAAGTCAAAATAAGTAATCATTTGTCTGTACAAATCACTAGCTAGGCTTTAGTTCTAAAAACTGTTTACATCCTTGATGTTCTTAATTAAAGAAAGGATATTACATTACTGGAAAGGGTTTATGTAAAGGCTATTATGAGGATTCTGGGGATGGAAGAGTTATTTCTTAAGGATAGGT